GAGAGAGAGAGAGAGAGAGAGAGACAGGAGAGGAGTGGGGGCGATGGACAGAGAAGAGCAGGGACTGAGTGTTAGATCGCCTGGCTCCAGAGGTCCGTCCCCAGGCCCCACACCCTGGGACCCCATCCAGCTGAGGCAGAGTGTGTGGGCCCCTGAAGCCCCTCAGCCGACCTGGACCTTGCCTTGCTGGCCACCCTGGGTGTCACTCCGACTGAAGCAGACCTGGGATCTGAGCCAGATTCCCCTTCCTAACTCACTCACTGACTGACATTTCGGCTTCCTCGCCTGCGAAGTGGACAGTAATCTCCCCTCAGAGACGTTGTCAAGCACCGGGGAGGGGCCGGTGCAGGGCGAGTGTTAAAAAAGAGGTCTGGGGCTGGCCGGTGTGGTCCAGTGGCTAGAGCATCAGCCTGTGCACTGAAGGGTGGCGGGTCTGATTTCTGGTCGAGGGCACATACATGGGTTGTAGGTATGATCCCTAGCCCTGGTCCAGGCACGTGCAGGAGGCAACCAATCAGTGTGTCTCTCTCATATCAATGTTTCTCTCCCCCTGCTTCTCCCTTCCACTCTCGCTAACAAATACCCTCAGTGAGGATTAACAAAAAAAGGGGCCTGGGGCAGCCGAGCTTTATCCTGCCCCACAGCTGGCGTGGCCCAGGCAGACAGGACAGACTGAGCGGAAGGTGCCGATGTTGATCAGCTGAGGGGGATGCAGGGCGATGGAATCAACTGGGATTCAAGGCTCAGCTCCACTACTTCCCAGCTGTGTGGCTCTGGGAAACCTATCTCTGAACCTCAGTTCCCACTTGTGAAACGCAAACGTGGATAAGAGCACAGGCCACACAGGACTGAACGAGACGTGCCATCTGGGCATTCCTCATGTGCCACTGGTGACCACTCTCAGCTGCTGAACACCCTGGCCGGTGGGAGCTGGGGGTAGCCTGGGACTCTCTTCCCAGAGCCAGGGGGCTCTGCTGTGGCCCCAGGCTGGTGCCTCCTGGTGCTCCCTGCCCAGTACATCCCTCCCAAGGGCCTGGCCAACCTCTGTCCTCCAGGGGGCGCCCGAAGATCACCCAGAAGCTGCCTGTGCCCAGGTCTCTGCCCTCACTCTGGGCCCAGCACTTTCTCCAGTGTGGGGAACAGAGGAAGAGAGAAAACGGGGAGAAAATGAATCATTTGGAAAATGAAAAGCAGGAAGGCTGAGAGAACCATGTGAGTCAGAGGGGCAGAGAAATGTGACTGTTTAAAGGGCCAGCCCATGGCAGGAAGAGGAAGCTGAGGGAGGGCCGGGCTGGGCCGCTGTGGGGCCTGCACCTCAGCTGCCCTCTCAGGCCACAGAGCTGCCAACTGAGCTGGACGAGGCAGGCCCCAGGCAGCACAGGGCGAGGACTTAGGTCTCCCTTTCCCACTCTAAGAGCTGGGGACAAAGCTGAGAAGGCCCTGCGGCCTGCTGGGAGCCGCCACCTTCGGTCCCTGCCCAGCCTGCCTTCCTTAGAGGCTGGTCCCCAGGACTTGGGTAACAACCTGTCTGCCTTTCCCAACTCACCTCCTGGGAGCTGTCCGCATTGCTCATTTGGTCGTCGATGTCAGGGACCACCTGCAGAGGCCCGCTCAGAGACGACAGGGACTGCCTGCAGGGGAGGCAGTCACATCACACGTCAGCTCGGCTCCAAGCAGCCCCCAGCCCCTGCTCCCCGGTCCTCACTGCTCTAAGACTTGGTTGAAGTCAAAAGACCTGGGTCCCAACTCAGCCCCTTCCTGATGTGATTAACTCTGCTTCTCCAAACCTCAGTTTTCTCATCCAAAAATAGGGGACAATTTCTACCTCACAGGCTGTGTGTGGTCAGAACTCAGTGAGATACTGCCCTCCATCACCGGCATCACTGGCAGGCAGGAGGTGCTAGAGCCAAGGCTGCCAGGACCCTCCCAATCTCCCCTGGGGAGAATCTGGAAATTGGACTCTGCTTGGCAGAGAAACAGGCCCAGCCTCAGGCTTCTTTCCTGGCAGGACGGGCAGGACCCAGCCCGGCACCAGTCACTCACCACGACGCAATGATGGCACTGAGGGCTTCCAGGACGTCGGCGGCAGCCAGGCGCTGTTGGGGGTCGAGGACCAGCAGTTTCCGGATGAGACACACGGTGCTCTCAGAAACCCGCCCGTCCCTGATGGGGGAGACGGAGACGGGGAGGCTTAGGTCGGGTGGGCCGGCCTGGGTCTCAGACCCAGGACTCCAAACCTCACTGTGTTGTCTCTGCCCCATGAGCCTCCATCCCCTCCCCAGTGACCCGGACTCACTCAGGGATGGTGTACTCGGCGGCCTTGATCTTCCGGAAGAGCTCCTGGGGGATGCTGTCGTAGAAGGGGAACTGGCCGTAAAGCATGGTGAACAGCACCACGCCCAGCGCCCACATGTCGCTCGGCTTGCCCCGGTACGGCCGGCCTATGGGCACACAGATGCACCACTTAGCACACACCCCGGAAAGAGACAGCCCTGGCCTCCCTCCGCTTACCAGCTACCTGCTGAAGTCTATCTAGGGACCCCTCTACCTTACCACCCTCACTTCTGGTCACCCTGCCCCCTCTTCCTCCCAGAGCAAGCTCTTACCCGGTCCTCCCCCCTCTCCGCCGCCTCTTCAGGCAGATTCAGCTCCTGCTCTGGAGACCCAGCTTGGCAGGGCGATACCCCACCTCGGGCATGCCTCCTGCCACTTCCTCAAGGCACCAGCCGGGCTGCCAGCTCTCGGCCCAGCTCCTAGCAGAGCGGCTCACAGAGCAGGTGGCCAATGTGCATGTGGAACAAAGTTGTGCGGCTCTGGACAAGTCAGCCACATGCATCACGGTTCCCTCAGAGCACTGAGCACAACCTGTAAGGACCCCTTTCTTTGTCTGTTCCCCCGTCTCCCCATGGGAAGGCAGGTTTTCACATGCAGGGGCCTCTGCTTCGCTCCCCGCCGCGTCCTGCACCCCGCATGGGCTCTCACTGGCGAAGGGAATGACTGTCCAGCTGGGTCAACTCTCGGTGCTAACACTGGAAGAAACACTTCTATCTCATTAAACCTCTAGCATAGCTCTGTGAGTTAGATATTTTCTGTTTGTCCACAGAGTAAAATGAGGCCCAGGGATGTGATCTGTCCAAGGTCACATGGCTGATGAAAAAACCCTGCTTCTCCCATTGCCAGGGCAATCTGTCCATCAACCCTCAACAGCAGAGCTCCTCCCACACGCAGCCGCTGCCTGACCTGCTCCACACCTAGGATGTGGGAACAACGCCAGCTCTCAAAACGCCCCTGCCCAGTGCCTGGGACACCAGCAGGCTCCGCAGCACCAGGTTCCCCGGACACAACTCAGCCCTCCCATGTGGAGGAGACACTGCTGGGCACCAGGCAGTGCCGGGACGACCTCCGCTGGGTCCCCAAGCCTCCTGGGTGGCTGGAGATGCCTTAGGGGTGGAGGACACTGGTTCCCAAGGGCCCCCCTTGGCCCACTGAAGGTCAAGGGGATGGGACTGTGCACCGAGGCGCTGTCAGACCTCAGCCTGCGCTTCAAAAGGTACCACGGACCCCCTTCACCAAGCCTGTGACTTCTTCTCTAAGTGGCACCGACCCCATGAGGCAGCTGAGGCTGGTGCAGCAGGCAGCTGTGTGCAGATGAGCCCGGGCCAACTCTCGCCCTGAGGCAGCACGGCCCCACCCTTTTCCAACACGGATGCTGACCTTTGCTCCCAGGCCCTGCTCCACCAAGTGAGCCCAGTGGGCCACCCACTGCCTTAGCTCTGTGCCGCTCCACAGAGGGTACTGCCTCTCCTGCAGCAGTGGGAAGGTGGTCCCCGCCAAGATGCCCCAGATGGAGCCTCAGCCAAGGAGGGTGGGGAACCGCGCCAGCCCGAGCTGCCCTGGACTGAGATGACAGCCGGTGCCGCCTCTAGCAGACAAGCTCTGACCAGCAGGCGACCTTTCCCTGAACTTTGGCTTCTGGGGAAACACTAACCCTCAAGCTTTCCTTTAGTAATGATGATGCCAGCTAATGTTTGCTGAGCCAGACACGAAGTTAAGGCCTCATCTAATCCCACAGGGACCCAATGAAGTAGGTGTTATTAGCTTCCCAACTTTACAGATGAGAAAGTTGAGGTCCAGAGAGGTCAGTAACTCTCCCAAGGTCCCCATTATTAACCAGACCATAAACTCGACAAGGGCAAGGCCATGACTGCCTTCACCCAGCTCCACGCCCGAGGCCCGGGCTATGCCTGGCACACAGAACAAATGGAGCAGCAGACCTGCGACCAGAACCCACATGCAGGCTTGTACGTAAGCATCACACTTCATCCTCTGAGCCAGGGGTCTTCAAACTATGGCCCGCGGGCCACATGCAAATACAAATGTTGTATTTGTTCCCGTTTTGTTTTTTTACTTCAAAATAAGATATGTGCAGTGTGCATAGGAACTTGTTCATAGTTTTTTTTTAAAGTATAGTCTGGCCCTCCAATGGTCTGAGGGACAGTGAACTGGCCCCCTGTTTAAAAAGTTTGAGGACCCCTGCATCTGAACAACGTGGGAGGCAGGGCCGTTTCCGTGAGGAGACTGAGGCTCAGAGAGGGGGTGAAGGCCAAATCACACAGCTGGTTAATTGGCAATGCCAGTGTCAGAGCCCAGGCCCTGGTCTCCCAGTCTGGGTCTCTTTCTGGTGCAGTGGGTGTCTCTGTTTCATCCTACAAGATGGGGATGAGTCTGGAAGGACCAGAGAGAGAAGCCATGGGCAGCAGCCAGTGACTGCTACAATTGGACTTTTGAGGGGGTGGGTGGGGGGAAGGAGCGGGGGCGTTCAGGAAAGGGCCTGGCCTGGCCCTTATTACCCCAGCTGCCCTGGGTGGGCATGTGGGCACATGGAGACCACCGTAGCCTGGCATTGCTAAGGACAGTCCTGACCAGAGAGCCCTGCCACCCCCGGGCTTGCACACCCCACAGACCTGGTTGTTCCTCCTGGCTCCTGTCACCTAGAGATGCTTTGGGGATTCTCATGGAGGGTGTCCAGTTGGACAGGGGTTGCCCAGAGAGTCCTCCAGCAGAGGCCGAAGGGATTCCAAACCCCCCAGGTCTGGAGAGTGGCACCACTACCCTCTACAGGCGGGTAGCCCTGGCATTCCAGCAGAAGCCTGGGCTGGGGAGGCCTCCAAGGGAACTACAGATGCTTATGGTAAATGACAGCAGCCGGCTTCCCAGGAAGGCAAGGATGACTCTGCTACTGTGAGGAGGGGACGCCTGTGTGTGCTGGTGGTTACACACCCCGGGGACAACCCTGGGCCTTCTTTACATGGAACAGACAGCAGCTGATACAAATCCTTGGTCCCCTACAGGGGCAGGATGAGAGACCCAATTTGGTAAAGAATGAGCGGGAAAAGGAAAGAAAACCACTGGTGAAACAGGAGCCTGGGCTTGAGCAGCCTCCGGAGTTACTATTAGCTATGACTTTGGACAAGAGATTTAATCTCTTGGAGCCTCAGTTTTCTCATCAGTAAAAAAGGAATACCAGCAGAATGAGTGAGTGAATGAGAAAGAAGGGAGTGATGTCTTTGAAATGCAAATCTCATCCTGGCACCCTCAGTGAAGACCTGCTCAATGGCTTCCTTTTGCATTTGGAATAAAGGATGACGTTTGTTTCTCAGTAAGGCCTCCATCAGCCCTTTCACGGTCTGGCCCCTGCCCACCTCCCTGGCCTTGAGCCAGGCTCATTTTCTGAGCAGCAACCACAGGGCCTTCAGTCGGTTCTCCAATGTGCTGTGCTGCCTCCACCTAGTCACACTCCCCATGATTCCCACTGATCCCTCCCGTCTCAGTTCAAATGTCACTTCCTTGGGGAGTCCTTCAAGTGCCTTATTTACACGCACAGAAATCTTCCCTGCCAAGCACTAATCTCAGAGAGTAACTCAAAGTGCACTGGTGCGGCCACTGCCGTCTTCCTCCTCCCTGAGCCCCCAAGACAGTACTGGCTGAAGATACCAGGAAGCCCACAGACAGGGTGTGCGGAAGGAGTGAACTGCTCCGGCGCCGGCTGTGTGCCGGCCTGGGCCCACTACCCCTGCCCGCACCTACACCTACCGCTGAGCACGGCCGTGTGCCGGCCTGGGCCCCCTGCCTGTGCCCACATCTACACCTACCACTGAGCACGGCCGTGTGCTGGCCTGGGCCCCCTGCCCGTGCCCGCACCTACACCTACGGCTGAGCACGGCCGTGTGCTGGCCTGGGTCCCTTGCCGGTGCCCGCACCTACCACTGAGCACGTCGGGACTGATGTAGGCGGGGCTGCCCCTCTGGTCCTTCAGCAGGTCCCCCTCGCTCACGAGGTGCTTCCCGAGGCAGAAGTTGGTGATGGTTATCCGATGCGTCCTGGGGGTGGGAGGCAGAGAGTGAACACACCTTGGTTCCCATGACACCCCTGCTGCCCTCACCTCCTGCCCACACCCTCTGCTCCCCAGGCCCTGCTGCCCTCCCGGGCCGTGTGGAGCATGCCGTGGTGCTGACTCTGGCACTCACTCTTGGTTGCCACCTGCTGAGCCGTCCAGGCAGGGATCGGAGTCATTCTGACCCGAGTGTTTAAGGGGAGCTCCCCTGAACCTACTTCCCTAGCTGAGTCTCGGGGGATGGTGGGGGGGGGCAGCTCAGGGCTCGGAACAATTTGCAGGGAGTCCCCAGACAACCTCACATCACGTCTAGGTTGGGAGTGATCAGGGATAGTTCAGCTCCCACATTTCCACACGAGGAAAAGCCCACAGAGCTGTGGGGCCCACCCTTAGGTGCCACTTTTGTCTCCGTCTGCTGAGTTCTCTGGTCACCCCATGTCATTATCAGTCCGCATCACTGACAGTCTGAAAAGCGAATGCGTACTGAGCCCTTACTGGCCTCAGTGCCTGGTGATGACTTTTCATTCAACCCACACACGCTTAGGAGGGATTTCAAAGACAACGCAACTAAGGCACAGAGAAGTGCAGGGACTTGTCCAGGGTCACACAGCTAGTGTGCAGTGAACAGGATCCACACTGGGTCTGTCTGACCCTAGGGCCTGCCCTGTAGACTAACCCAGGTGCCCACTGTGTCCTGGACAGTCCCCAACTCTCTCATTCCCCGCCTTGCCCTTCAGATTCTCCCCTGACCTAGAAAGCCATGGATCCCCCATTGGAGTCGTGGCTGAGAGCAGCTCTGGGCTCTGATCCTTTCTGGGAGTTTCACCACGTGAACAAAATTGCCCAGAGAGGACACCTCACATCCCGCGGGGGCGGGTTTAGGGGGCAGTCCCCTTCCAAGAGGCCAGGGAAGGCTTCTTTGCCCCACTGGGGACAGCAGGTGAGGAGGGGTGCTTCTCTGCCCACAGACGAGCAGGGGCTACTGCCAGCTCTGCTGGCAGCTGCTGGCAGGGACGCAGCACAAGGGCCGCCTCTTGAGGATGGAGGGGAGTCGACTCAGAGTGCAGGTCGTGTGGGGCTGAGGGCGGAATTCCCCAGAAGCTGCGTCCAAAATGCTCCCGAGCCTTTCAGCTCTCCGGGGAATTCTGCTGGCACAGGGCTTGGTGCAAAACAAAGGCCAGTCTGTGCTCTGCATTCCGAATGGAAATGTCGACTCTCCTCGCCACACAGGCCCGCCCGCCAGATGCCACAGAAGTCGGACTGGTGGCCCTAGGGCAGCTGGAGCCCGAGAGAGCAGGCAAAGGGTCCAGGCAAGGATCACTGCACATCAAGCTGTGGATGGCTCCCGCTCTGAACCGCCATGTCACTGTCCTGAATGTGAGACTGCCCAGCCTCTCAAGCTCATGGTCCCCAGAGCAGAGGCACTGGGTTTCCTCCCTGCTCAGAGATGGCTTGGCAGCTGCAGCGCCTCCTGCAGGCGCTCTCTGAGGCTGGGGACACTGTGGGCGGACAGCGCAGTGGGCAGTTTGGTGGGCTTGGGAGTCAGATCCTGGGTTCCGTTCCTAGCTTTGCCACTCCCTAGTTGTGTGGTCCTGGGCATGCTATTTAGTATCTTGCTAAACCTCAATTTCCTTGTCTGTGAAACAGGGAAAATATTAGCACCTAACTCCCAGGACTGTGTTAGGGTTTAACAAGATAAGAACTTAATCTCAGGGCAAGCACTGGGCCCAGGGCCTGGCGAACAGTCACTGATTACTAACTGCTAGCGCAGATTAGCATGTCATCCCCCGACAGTGGGCAGAAGCTGCCAAAGGAGAACCCTGGGAAAGGCACCATGTTTGAGGGGCAGGAGAGGTGCCACTTTGTGTCCACAGGCACTGGAGCCCACGTGCCTCTGCTGGGGTGGGGGGTGGGGAGAGGGGAAGGGGAGGCTGGAGGAAAATGCGCCAGAGACTCTGCAGGGTGGGCAGCAGGGTCCACTTGGCTTTCACTGCTCTGCCCGCTGAGGACCCTGGAGCCTCTCCCACAGGAAGCCACATGGTCAGCTCCAAGACCTCCTGAAGCTTGGCGACACTCCCGCCGGGCCACCACCGCCCAAGCTGGCCGGGTGGTGCACAGATCCCTGGGAGTCCAGACCCCCCAGGCTCGTCAGTCCTGGCAGAAGGGCGAGGGAAGTGAGGGATGAAGGGAGCTCTGTGTCAGCAGGATCCGCTCTGAGTGAGTCACTCTTTAGCTATGGCCCTTTGGGCTACCACAGTGTTATTCTCCTTTTCTAGGAACTTGGTGTGCAATTTGACTACCCAAAAAGAAAGGAGGAAGAGGAACCCACAGCAAACCTCACATAACCCCAAAAGGGGATTTCAGATTTCAACCCGTGCCTTTCATCCACAGCAGGGCGGACTTGCCACTGTGCTGCTCGGCAAACACTTCTCCCGTTTCCTCCCCGGGAGCACCCTCTGCTGTGAGGACCGGGCAAGTCCTCCAGCTTGTCTGCCTGCCTCTCCAGCTGCAGTTAGGGCCTGGCCTGAGGGGCATGAAGGGGTGGAAGCGCCTCCAGGTTGACTTTGAAAGGATGAAAGCAAGGTCTGGAGAGGACAGGGGTGGGCCCTGGACTCAGGGCGGGTCTCTCTGCACCATGCCACTCTGCCCTCTTCCAGAAGAGCTGGGAGTCAAGGGACAGGGGGCCAGAACCTCCGTCTGACCAGCACAGAAGGGATTCTCAGATTAAAGGGCTGCTGCCAAGACGAGGGGTCTGAATGAGGTATTGGTGTTCTGCAATCAGAGGAAACACACACACACACACACACTCACTGGCATTACTCAAGAGAGGTTTGACCTCTGGACTACCTTCCCCGAATGAAGGGGCCTAGAGAACTGAGAGTTGGAAGCAAATCCATCGCGGAAACAAAGAGGCTTGAGGCATTGGGGTGGTCACAGCGCAGGAGCCCTGACTGTGTTCCTGCAACCCTCGGGGTGAGCCATCAGATCCCTTCCAAGATCAAGGCCCTCTCTCCGGCTGCTGGGAGTGTTGGTTTCTGACTACTCGTAGCTGTGTCCTTCTTGGGAAGTGTCCTTATCCAAAGGAGACTGCCTAAGCTTATGCCCCACCCCGGGCATGGGCCACAGTCAGTGGCTGCCCCAGTAGGGGTGCAGGGTCCTGTGCCCCCTTGCCTTGATCTGGGACATCTGAAGGGCCACCTGGCTCTCAAGCTTTCCAGGTTGAGACCATGTCAGGACTGCACCAGAGTTCAATGTCTGCCTCTGCCCAATCCCGCCCTCTCCTCCCTGAGAGCTCTCCCCAGTAAAACTCCTGCACACATCTGAGTCTGCTTCCTGGGACCTTGACCTATTTTGCTCATCTGTCATTCTTTCACCCATTTGTCCTTGTTTACAGTCACCAGGCATGACCAATGAATGGACCAGGGAGGGCTTCTGCACTCCTTCCCAGAGCTCTGTCTGTGGTTTTGAAGACTCTTCCTCACATTCTATGCAGCAAGAAAACAGAAGCAGGCATCCCACCCCCACCACCGGGATTCCCGCGAGAAGTGGGCTGTTTTAAGCCAGAATCCCCCTGGGAATCTGCGGGCATGCGATAGCTGGTAGCTGCAGCATGTAGCCTACTCCAACCCCAGTTACCTCATGAAGAAAAGCAGGTCTCACCTTTTATTGAGCACCATGTTCCCGAGCTTCAGGTCTCTGTGCACAATGTTTTTCTGGAAGACAACAAAATGGTTTGCACCATGAAGGTGAGTGAGGGCTGGGGGCGGCCCAGCCTGCAAGGTGTTTGGGAAGGTGGGATAAAACTCTGTGACAAGCCTTTTAAGGCTCTGCCTTGATTTGTAAGCCCCAGACAGACCAGGACCATTCTAAGACCTCATTAGCCATGTGTATGGATGGGGTAATAGGTGAATTCAGGCAATCTCTGCCCCACCCAGGACGGGTTCCCAGCTTTCTCCCCTTAGGGCAGCAGCCAGTGGGAAAACCCAGTCCTTTCTCCACCTCTATCAAACTTCTTATTGAAAACTAAGCATCTGCCTGGAGCCGGAATCAGAGATGAACTCTCCTGACTCTGGAGACCAAGTCTGCAGGCTTGGCCCACAGAAGCTGTGAGTCTGCAAGAGGCTCTCCTAACCTGGGCATTGGGGTACTTGACACCTCCAATCCTAGGAAAAGCTCAGAGGTAGGCTGTGGCCCCAGTGGATATCTCACAGTCAGCATCAAAGATAGGAGGCTCATGTTTAGCTCCTTGCCTGAGAGGGATCCCTGCTCTGGGCTCTGCTCTGTGCCCATTGCGGCACCCCCACCCCAGGATGGTGGGCTGATGCCTGCAGCACTGTGCCTCCCCAGGCATACATGTCATCTGGACACTTTTCTTCTGCACACTTCCAGCTGTTCCAGCTGCAAGCACACCTGGGTGAGGGCAGGACAGAGGGTGGCTCTCTGTGGCTTGTGGAGCCCAGGATGCTGTCAGGCCAGAGGAGAGGTTGCAGAAGGGCAGCCTCACCTGGTGCAGGGCTTCCACCACGCGCACCACGTCGTAGAAGATGACCACGGTCTCCCGCTCGCTGAGCCTCTTCTCCTTGATGACGTAGTGCTGCAGGTTGATCAGGTCGGCGGTCTTGTCGCTGAAGTCGTGCGCACAGAGGCAGTCCAGAACAAGGCAGATGCGCTTCTTTGTCTTCTTAACCATTCGGCTGGATTCTGTGTCCTCAACGATTTCACAGGTACGGTCCTGGGAGGCAAGGGGGCTGATGGAACTGGGGCCAGGGCTTTGGGACTCTCCTCTGGAGCCAAACAAAGCAATGAGGGAGCCGGGGAGAAGCCTGCATGTGTGTGGGTGATGAAGGCCTGAGGCCTGGGCAGCGTGGACCATGGGGCAATGCCTGGATTCCCATGTACCAGTGCCAGGCCGAGCAGGGGATGAGATTACAGTAGCTCATGTACAAGATTCATGCTTTGACTCTAATACTAAGGGTTTGGATTAGGGCTGAGCATTTAAAGCCAAAGGGGCCCCTGAGTCCAGAGTAGAGGCTGTAAACCCAGACCCTCGACACCCTCCCCTCCGCGGCACTCCAGGGATCCCAGCAACGACCACAGCACACTTCCTTCCAATGTCCAAGTGGTGTCTGTGAAGTGTTTTGTGTGTCCCAGACAACTGTTTCACATGGAAGAGGGACTCATGGGCAGCTCTGGCTCCTCACCTGCAAATGGGAGCCGGTAACCCCTGCCTCACAGGTCCCTGGGAATAAGACAACCAGACTGAGTGCTAGTCCCCCGCCCCAGCCAGGGCTCAGTACGTGGGCCCTGCTACCAACACCACGGTTGCAAGTTCTGCACCCACTCCCTTGCTGGAAAGACATTTCAAGTAAGAAAAAAAACAGGCACAACACGGGGACCTACCAGCGTGAGGAGGCCCTCGGTGTCACCCAGCCCCTGGGAGCTCCCGGGGACTGAACATCCACACCGCTGGTTCTCCCTTCCCCAGAGACCCAACAGTGTCTGGCACGCAGCTGACTCTAGGAACACTAATCACCCCAGTTCTCTTGTCTACAATGATATGGCCCAGGCCAAGCTTTGGAAGCTGGCAGAAAGGATATACTAAGAAATCACAATCTCCCTCAGTTTGACTTCATGCTTAAGGGAAACACGTTTTCAGAGTTGCCTGTAATTGTGCCTCAGAATGAAGACCTCAGTGGGGTGTATGTGTGGGTGAGAGGCATTCTAATTTATTGTATTTCGGGAAATCAAGCCGACAAGGAGTTTTTACTGCCTGAAATAACAGCCACAATGAGAGTGCAAACGGGGCAGCTCGGGGCTTTGCACACTCATTCATCTTCCCACCACTGAACAAGGTGGACATCGCTGTCATTATCCTCATGTCAAAGATGAGGAATCCGAGGCCAGGGGACCTGAGTGACTTGCCCGAGGTCACACAACCTGAACCCAGGACTGCTGGCTCCAAAACTTGTGTGCACCCCCTGCCATGCTGCCTTTCCTGCGCCAGGTCCGTCGGAGCAAGAAGGGGCCCTGGCCAGTGCGGCTGGCTAAGGGGCACTGCGCAGGCTCTGCTGAGTCCTGAGGAGGCGGCCTCCTGGGCATCTGAGCCGCTTCTCTACTTCTGAAGACACAATCTCAGTTCCGCCCTGAGGAGGGCTCTTTTCAGGGTACACATTGCTAATTAGCACCTTTCCTGGGGGACCTGGGACATCGGGGCACGGGCTCAGGGACACTTGTTGAACAAACTGGAATGCCTGGGCGGACAGGACTGTTGGTGCCAAAACAACTGAGGTGGCTCCAAGTGTCCGTTCTTCCTCACAGCCCTCCCTTCTACCCTGGCCAGGCCAATTCCTGACAAAACAGTAGAATGAGCCTGTGTCTTTAAATGACTTCCTGCTTTCCTCTTTTCTCAGAAAATCAGCTTTTCAAAGAAAGCCTGTAAGATGCGAACTGTGTGCCTTCCTGCTAGGCTGTGATCATCACAGCAGGATTGTGGGGCTGACCCAGTCTGACATCTAGCCCAGTGGTCACCAACCAGTGATCCACAGACCACTGGTGGTCCGTGAGGAATGAAAGGTTGGCAACTGCTGCTCTAGCCCGCTCGGCCCAGAAAGTCATGACACACCCAGCACGCAGGGGTCACAAGGGTGAGCTGCTCCAAGTACTGGTGTGGTCCTAGCAAGTGCCAGCCCAAGGTGGGGGGTCAGGGAAAGGAGGGAATAGGCAGCCACTCACCTGGAAGAGCCCGTGGTGGTGAACCACGCCATCCTGTGTGTGGAGGAGGGAGAGCAGAGAGTACTCGGTGTGTAACAGCATCTTGCCTTGCCTCTCCTCTTGGCTTTCTATTCCTTGGTCCCCCCTCTCCTCAAGGGTAAGGATCTTTAGGAAGGCACACACACACACAAAAAGAAAAACAACCCAAAAAACCTTACTTTATAGAGCAGAGTGACCAGAGCAGGAAAAGCAGGGGGTCACATTCTCCCATGCAATACTTGCACACACACTCACACACACACCTACGAAGTGCAACAGTTTTTCTTAATGTGATGGCAATGTAATTTATGCGCAGATAAAGCTCGTTAAATCAAGAGTTGTTCAGAGAGAGGCTGTGAACTTGATTGTTTCTCGGGAAGAAATAGTGCCACTCTTGCTCACAAGTGGTGCAGGTGTGAAGGGAGAGAAAAGGGAGCCAGGCTGGCAGGATGGCCGAGTCCCTGGGACCCTGGCTCAGGTGCCTCACTTACCTTCAGCTGATAGAAGTCATCTGTGCCATCTTTCCTTGCCAGACACTGCACAATGCTTGGCACCGGTGAGTTGCCCAGACGGGGACCTGCGGCACAGAGATCAGCTGCTTACTGCTCAAAAGCCTATCTAGAGTGGCACCATCACCACCTGGTCTTTGGCTCGCTCTTCTCCTCAGAGGGCACCACTCAACTCCCCCAACAACGGCTCTCCTGGGGGAGAGTTTCATGGTCTCCCCTCCAAAAATGGAGGGTATGTGTGCATCTGCCTGAGGTACACTTGGCTTTTACAATCCCATTCTAAAAAAGAGGGGTTTTCAACAGTGGGTGCAGGCTGGACTCTCTGAGGAGCATGTGTCAAAAAAAGAGCTCCCGGCTACAACGTGCCCCTCTGAATCAGCAACTCCAGGGTAGAATCCAGGAAACCACAGCTCTGACAGGTTCCCACGGTAGCCTGATATAGCCACCTGGCCCCGGTCCAAGGACCAGCTTTTGGAAACTTGTGTATTTCTGGAGAAGTATACTGCTTGTCCTGTGAGAGCACCCTGCCTGAGCTTTCAGGGCATAAAGCCGATGATGTCACCATGTCACTGCACTGCTAACAACTTGTAACAGTGCTCCACAGCTCTTACTATGCAATCAAAACTCCTTTCTGGACATCCAAGGTCATGCATGATTAGGTTCCTACACATCTTCCTACCTGGTTGTATTTCCCTACTCCACTCACCACACTCTAGCTCAGTGGTCAGCAAACTGCGGCTCGGCAAACCGTGGCTCGTGAGCCACATGCGGCTCTTTGGCCCCTTGAGTGTGGCTCTTCCTCAAAATACTGATTTCTGTGCATGGGCCATGAAGTTTCAATCGCACTGTATGTGCACGCCCGCACGTGGTATTTTGTGGAAGAGCCACACTCAAGGGGCCAAAGAGCCACATGTGGCTCGAGAGCCGCGATTTGCCGACCATGGCTCTAGCTACACTGGCTTCTTAATTCCTAAGACATTAAGGCCTTTACTGCCTCTGGGCTTTTGCATTTGCTGTTCCTTCTGTCTAGAATGCTTTACTCCTGCTTTTCACATGGCTGGCTCCTTCTTATCCTCAGGTGTCAGCTCAATGTCATCTCCTAGACAGAACCTTCCTTGTCTATACTATCTCCTGGTCCTTCTTACTCGCATCACCTTGTTTACTTCCTTAAAGGCACCTACCGGACCTTCCAGTGATGATCTTGTGTGCTGTTTACTGTTTCTTTTTGCAACCAGAATGTTAAGTTCTGTGAGGGCAGGAACTGGTCTGTCGCATACACAGCTGCACCCCGGCAAACAGCACAGGTCTGGCCAGAGTGAGCGCCACTGACTCACTGAATGACTGCAGCTGGAACTCTCTTGTATCCATAAATCCAGATGTTGTTCCCCCAGCAAAACTCACACCCAGCCTCTGGCTGCTAGGGAGTCAGGGTCCTCAGAGCCCACCCCACCTGCAACCCTGGGCATAAATAACCAGGACTTGCTGGACCTCTAACATCACGCAGAAGGCCCAGCTGCTCCTCGGGACCACTGGGAATACCCAATTCTACAGGATTTCTGTGCCAACTTTACAGGAAGTTTCAGGGGCTATATTGACCACTGTGTGAAATTAATTATGCTCTCCAAGAGTGGTCCACAAAGTGACTTGGGTGGCCCTTGGGATTCAATGCAGCTTTTGTGTTTCCCATGGATGACATCGTAGGGGAACAGATAGTCTAGCTCTCAGCTAAGACTGACCTAAGGCTGGTGTCTCTCCAACAAAGGTGACAACTCTTGGTACAGGGTGACCTAAAGCTCTGGGTCTCCCACTGCCATAAACAGCCTCTAGTTAAGGCGGTGAGGCTGGGCCAGACCCAGCGTTGGTCAGGACCCCACACTGTGGTGGGTGTGTCAATTCACTCTGCACGTCCGCAGGTCAGACTGTGCATGCCAGTGCGCCCTGCCCCTGCCCCAGCACCCACTCACCCGGAGGGGAGAGGCTTACCCAGGATGAACGGTCCAGCTCTCTTCGCATTATTTCCAGAAATCCCACTTCCTAGAGCCTTCGCCCTGGCCGACGTTTCCCCAGCCCCTCTGTCTGATGCTCTCCGCTTCATCCTCAGCTCTAGACAAGACAGAAAGAGCCCCTCTCACTGAGCAAGTCAGCGCATTTCCTTACGCTAACACAGCCTCCAAGCCTCTGACTTGGGGATGCGTCACACAGCTGCTGCTGCTGCTGCTGCTGCTGTCGCTGTCGCTGCCACCTCCTCCCCCTCCCAGAGGAGAACTGAAGGTTCCCGGTGACAAAGAACCAGGGCTCCTTTACTTGGGATTAATTAGAGGCTTGAGGGAGTGTACTGGTTACGGAGGTGGGCAGCCAGCTTGCCTCAAAGGGGCCGGTAAAATGCAGAGAGAACACTGGGCTTTGTGCAGATGCAAATTGGGTTCCCCAAGAGATCACCACAGAGAGGAGAGCTGGCTGGGAATTTACTATTCCCAAAGTAAGGCCTTCCCCCCAATTTCCGATAGCCAGTGGCCTGAGGGCTGATTCCTGGGTCCCACTCCACCCCCAGTGTTCTGACCTCTGCGGTGTGGTGGGGTGTGGACCCCGGGAAATGGTGGACATGAGGCCCCGGGGATTGTTATGCCCACAAAGTATACTGTACAGGTCACTACCAAGAATCTCCTCTCTCCAACTCCCCTTGACCCTTAAATCCTCTCAGATGGAAGAACATCCCAAAGTTGTCAATCAGGGGGTAGGGTAGGATGGCTGTTTAAGTTTGCTTTCTCTTCCTTTCTCCTATCTTCAAAATTTTTTTAAATTGCTTTTAAGAAAAATACTGTGCATTTAGGAGCCAGATAAAGAACACCAATGGAGGTCATGATCACTATGATTTGCCTGGTAATCCCTATCTCCTCCAGGGTTAAAACAAAGATTGACACAGGAGCTAGATGCTAGAAGATGTACACCTCTAGACATGGATTTTTAATTTGTTTCTAAAATATATTTTTTAATTGATTTCAGAAAGGAAGGGAGAGGGAGAAATAGAATCAATGATGAGAGAGAACCTCATTGATCGGCTGCCTCCTACACACCCCATACCGGGAATTGATCCCGCAACCTGGGCATGTGCCCTGACTGGAAATCAAACCATGACCTCCTGGTTCATAGGTCAGTGCTCAACCACTGAGCCTCACTGGCCGAGTTAGAATGGATTTTAAAAAAGGAGTCACTCCTTCTAGCTCTCTATAGTTAACACCTTGGGAATGCAGCGTCCCGGAGGTGGGGCAAGGAAACAGATGCACACAGATGAGTTCCACAGAGCGGGCAGAGGGCCACAGTGATGCCCAGGGAAGGCTGGCTGCCCAATCCCAAGGAGAGGCCCTGGCCCGAGGTAGGTGAGGGGGCTCTGGGGAACCTTCTTTGAGGAGGTGGTACTGGAATGGGCCAGGCAGAGGAACCTGGGTGAGCAAACGTACGAAGGTAAGAAATGACACATAAGCAGCCAACTCCAAGCAGTTTGTGTCACTGGAGTACACAGTGTGCAGCAGGGAGTGGAGAGAGGTGACCAGAAGAGGGGCCAGGACCACATCTAGGGGACCCGATGGCCATGTCAGGAGTGAAAACTTTAGAGGTTTAACAATCAGCCCTAAACTTCTGTAATTTATTTCTTCATACAAAAGTAATTGGCATTCCCTGCAGAAACACTAGAAAATACAGATATGCAAAAATAAGATACCTGTGACCTCACCACCCAGATGTAATCGCTGTTAACATTCAAGCAGACTTTCCTGTGTGTGTTTGTATAGGTGTGTGCTTACAGTGTTTTATGGTATGTAAACTCATTAAAGCTGTAAACTAAAATAAAACACCATATTAACATCCCCTCATGACAATATTCTTCTGTAGCATCACTTGAAATAGCTGCACAGTCTCCTTGGTAAGAATATGTCATGATTTATTGGACCACACCCCTATTCATGGACATCTACTCTATCCATTTCTAAATATTTTTATTAACAGCCATACACCTATATCTTGGCGTACTTGTCTCTCTCCCTCAAGATAAACTCTAAGAAGTGGAATTGCAGGGTCAAAAGGGGAGCATGTTTTAAAGGTGCTTCACATATACTGCCAGGCTGCTCTCAGGGAGGCTGAGCCAATTGATATCTCATCAGCAGTGTGGGCGAGGAAGGCCCAGGACCTGCCCCAGGACTATGTCCTTAAAGACTGCCAATTTGATGGGCAATAAAAAGTATATCGTTGTTTAAATTAATAATTTCTTAGCTATTCATGAGGTTGAACTTATTTCACATGCTTACTGGTTGTATGTATTATTTTTTATGAATTTCCAGTCCATATTTTTCTATTTTTTTATTGTTGTGTATTAGTTACACTGGTTTTTAGAAACTATACATTAAGAATATAACTGGGAACAACAGAGGAGAGAGGTCAATGGGGGGAAAAGGGGACATATGTAATACTTTAAACAATAAAGAATTTTAAAAAAAGAATATAACTGGCACAGGATGTCATTTTTCTTAATCTTTTAACTTTTTTAAATGAAAAAAAAAAGGTTAAACAGTTCTCTTTTCCTTTAGTTTGTTTTTGCTGTTATTCCTGGAAGGCTGGCTCTACTCTGAGAACAGGTGTGGATCCTCTAGTCAGGTTACTTTAACTCTTTACACGCTGTCATTCTGGCCCTTCTTCTAAATCCCAGGAGGCTGACTCCAGCAGTGAACTGGAAGTAGGAGAGACGGCCTGATGTACTCCAAGCCCGTTTGTTTCAGAGCTGTGTCACTGAGGAGCAGTCCCAGGGTTTCATTATGAGAGAAGCTGGGACCATGTAACTCAGTAGGCCCTGACCGTCCACAGATGGAGAAGCCATGGCTAGGCTCCGCCTTGACTTCTGCCAAAGCTCATGCTGGAAACAGATTCAAAATCATTCACACAAAAGCAGGGAAAAATAAAACAGCTTTTAGACTTCATAGCTGGGCACATGTGCCTAGAGCAGTGTTCCTGTTCTTTGCCTGGCTAACTTCTATGCATCCTTCTCAATTTAAGTATCACTTCCTCACAGAAGCCTTCCTGGACAGCCCCACCACCAGTGGGTCCCAGCTAGTCTCACTTGGCTTCCTGTAATTTTCACTTGTAGCACTTTCCATATTTTATGGTTATATATTTATTTGTGTGTTTATATGCTTAATGTCTTACCCCCACCACTAGACAAAAAATTCCATAAGAAAAAAACACACCTTTGGACCCCAAGTGCCTGGCCCCGCAGATACTCCACGCTTAGCTGGGTGCCTTCCCTCCAGGTGTGGGTAGTTCTCACAGATCAGCAGCCCTGAGCTGGCGCTGCCCCTGTCCTCGTAGATAAGCTGGTTTCACGCCATTGTGGCCCTGTCCCCTTTCTAACGGAGCGCTAGTTTTTTTCCTTCTGGTTCCCTGGAGAGCACCTCGGAGGCCTCATCATATCTGTATAGACGCTGCTGAGGCGCCTACGCACAGGCATGGTCTAGACTAGACAACAGTTTGCTGCGAGCAGCTGCAGCACAGACAATGAGTGGGCTCAGCTTGACCCCACCCACCCCACTCAAGATTCAACTCCAGCAAATGGCATGGGAACTGCTCCAAAATGTAGGCAGACAGAAGGATGGGAGCAGACGGCAGGGAGAGGGAAAGGATGCTGCTGGCAGGGGAGGGGTAGCAAGGCTGCTTTCCTTCCTGAGCATCCCTTCTGGCCACACAGAGCTGGCGGCTGCAAAGGAAGCAGCATGAGGAGGGGCATCTGGAAAAGTGGAAGCTGCTGCAGGCTCACTAATGAGGTGAGCAAAGACTGAGACAGACCCTCCTGCCCCTCACCCCCAACTAATGCACAGGGAGGGTGTGCCCACTTTCAAATCCTCCTGATGTGTTCCCCTTCAGCGGCACAACTGCAAATGGTACCAATGCTCCCTGGGGGCATCCTGCCTTCACAGTGAGATCGGCAATGTGGAAGCTCTGGCCACTCTGGTCTTACAGTGGTTCTCAACCTTCCTAACGCTGCGACCCATTAATATAGTTCCTCATGTTGTGGTGACCCCCAACCATAAAATTATTTTCATTGCTACTTCATAACTGCAATTTTGCTACTCTTATGAATCGTAATGTAAATATCTGATATGTTATATGTGTTTTCCGATGGTCGCGACCCACAGGTTGAGAACCACTGTCTTAGAAGGACTTGGAGCCAGGCTCCTCCAGAGACACTGGTCCTCAGGTGGGGTGAAGAGCCCTGACCCAGCCTGTCTAAGTGGTAGCCGTTTGCTGGTGCTTCCTGAGTGCACTGCTCAGCTCCCCAGGAACTTAGCAATGTTGGCTTGGAAGTCTTTGGAGCTTTAAGTCTGCCAACTACTCGTGCGGTATCCTCCCACATCATGGCTGGTTCCCTTAGAACCTGGACTCAACAGGAAGCTTAGGGAGGCAGCAATGGGGCTGAGTGGTGGAGGCTGGGAAGGAGGCACTGAAAGAGAACCCAGCCTGGCAGCCCTGCCTCCTGCAGGCTGCGCTTCTCAACCTGGATAGTGGGAGCTGGGGGGTCGTTTGCTTGGCCCAGCCTAGGGAGCAAATTGTGGGCCTGAGAATAAGGGCCAACTCTGTGACAGCCATCATGGCATGCCCAGAAGAGGGGAGGCCTGTCCTACCCTGTCAATTTGGGGTTAAGGTCATGTCACCCCAAAGCTGCTTGGCCATATGGGCCCAGCTCTCCCAGAAGCCAATGAAGGCCAGGGCACTAGCAACACATAAGGTTCTAAGTCCCATCTAGCTGAGTCCAGGGGTGTAGTGTGACAGGGTGCAGCATAGTGGGTGGGGTAGAGCCCGGCAGAACACACTATGGCAGGGCACAGTTCAACATGGTGGACATACCACCAACCCCAAAAGGAGGTGGGCTAAAAAGAGAGACGGTACTAAGGCCTCCCAAGCTCAGTCTTCCTCAGCTCCACCCAACTACAAAGCAGCTGAAGCCTGGCCAAGGCAAGGAGGAGACCCTCACTCACACCAGAAGCACCCCCCAGGCCTTCACACATGTGCGGACGCATGGCCCTAGGCAGGGGACACTCACATGTGCACAGAGACAGAGCAAACCCCCACTCCCCGCAACATGAAGGGC